CGTGTCACGTGAAGGTGTGGGGGTGTGGGTAGTCTTGTGTTTCCCAATTACAACCAGTCAAATGTCACCTTTTGTTTTTTTAATGATAAATACCTTGCAAGCATACAAGGCACCAATATGTCTCTTTCATGCCTATTCACAGATTACATTACAAACGTGGTATTGTATTTTATTTCAGGTAGCTATTAAAAAGGTATCAATTTGAAATTGCTTTTATAAAAGGATATATATCTATATAGATATATATTTTACACTAGAATGAATTCAGGTAGAATCTCTTTGTATCACGTAGGTTAAATTGACACAATAGTAAACACAAAAGCAAATGACATCTTCCGGGTATTGAGAAACCCTGTCGCCTGCAAAAAGAAAAACCGTCTTGTGAGAAGCCATCAATTATTTACTAAGAGTTAGTGACTCTGACTCTTTTTTTTTTATGGGCCAACCAAACACTCATGAAAAAGCAGCCCATCGGTTTTCTAAGAACTAATGGCATTACCCAGACACAAATTGCTGTCATTACCAGGGATGAGCTTATGTCTGGGCCAAACCTGAAAGGGAGATGGGTCAACCCGCCCAATCAGCTGTAGGTTGGGGTATTCCTCATAAAAGGAGTATGATGCTTGTGATGACATTTTTGGCTTCATATGGCCATATTAGGTCAATGTCATTGGCCAAGTATAGCCATAAAAGGTAATTGATGTCATAACATCCCACCCCTTTGGTTACGTGCAGCGGAAGGCGGGGAATTAGATGGCCGCAGCTTTTTGGGCGACAGAGGAAGGAGCTTCCTTCTGGGTTCAAAAGAGCTCAGGTTTGGACCAGGTCCTCACTCATCCCTAGGACTCATTGCAGAGCGGTGACAACGTATTTTAAAACGTATTTTAAAAACCTATTGGCACAATACACCTGAGTACAGATTAGTTATCCTAGCAACAAGAAATTTAAGTATAAATATAAATCTGAGGTACTTGTATTCTCAGTGGTAGGTCTGTTTAGCTCAAATACATGTTCTTGAGGGAAACAATTAGGTTCCTTTATAACAAAATGAATGATTCTATAGCTCCAGGATTACCATCTCTGTCTTCTCATACAGTAAACATGCGTGTAAATGTCATGGGGAACGTGTTGTACATTTATTTATTTTATATTTCTCTACGAAGCCTCAAATATGATATTTTCTGGAAGAACTCCATGTGAAGCCAATAGAAACCAGATTCTTCATTTCCCTTTCAAGAAAGAAGCCAATTGGTTGTTAAGAACAGCACGAAACATTATTTTAAAGACGCTCATGCATGAGGCTCAAGTACAGAGAATTCTGCGTTAATGTTAAAAGGGTCAGTAAACTCAGTAGTGGTATTTCTATGTGAAGCCTGATGGAATAAAGTCTTGGACTTTGCAAAATTCACGGTGACATCCGTGGTCACTTCAAGCACTCGCCTGATATCAGGTCTGTTCTTTGACTCGGTAAGGAGTGCAATAGGACATTTCTATATGTGCCTGATGGAATGAGTCACCCTCTGGCATCATTTCCACTCCATGTTTCCCAGCCCTGTTCCTGCCTACCTTGAAATGCTGGCTGAACCAAGCCTTTTTTAGCCTTCTAAAGAATACAAGATAAATTGAAATGAGGAGAGAGACCCTTTTAATGGCTGTGGTAGATGTGCAGACCGGAAACCTCAAGCCTACCGCAGTCATTCAAGAGGTACAAGTAATTCACTAACATCTAGAAAAAGAAAAAAAAAAGGGTTTTAGGTGGACTGGCCCTTTAAAAACCATACACCTCCTCGGTCTATCAAGACAGAGTGCATGATGACATTCCCCCATTATACACTATATAGCTGAAAGCTTGGGGACACCAGACCATCACATCTACCTATAAGTCAATAATGTGTGGACATTCCTCCAAATTATTGATTTTAGGTTGTTTCTAGTGAAGGTTGTTCATGCTACAGTGTACAAAGACATTTTATACAATTGTGGGCTTCACACCTTGTGGCAACAGCTTGGGGGGGGGCTCTACTTTCCCAGCATGACTGTGCGGAAAGCCAGTTCAAGAAAGCCATAGTTTGATAAAATTAGTGTGGAGGAATTCGAGTGGCCTTTACCGAGGCCTGACCTCAACCCTACAGAACACCTTTGGTATGATTTCGAACACTTACTAGGAACCAGGTCTTTTCATCCAATATCAGTACCTGACCTCACAAATGCTGTTTTGGCTAAATGGGCCAACATTCCCACAGACACATTCCAAGATTTTGTGGAAAGTCTTCCCTGAATAGTGGAGGCTGTTATAGCCTGAAAAGGAGGGGGGGGGGGGGGGGGGAAACCCATTTAA